CCAATGTCTCCCGCGCTCCATCGTGGGCGGCGATCATCTCTGCCGTCGCTGTTGCTCGTGGCGTCCCCACTTCAGAGTTTCCCATTTGAACCGAGGGAGAAGAAAAAGGAGTCGCCGTGGGCGCCATCGCCGGGCATGCAGCAATCTTGTCTTCCTGTTGCAGGAGTAGCGTTACCGCCTCCGTGAGTTGATAGACTCGGTCCGCCCAGGGCCTCCTTCTCTCATGGGGTGGAGGGCTCTAAGATGAGTCACTCCTCACCTTTTGCCGTCTTCTTACGGTTCGGGGAGCTGTAGACCGTGCTGTCTCTGGATCACGGCTATCCGGGGCGCTGGGAGTGGAAGCACATCCTTCTCTTTCTTCACGGGGGTCTCGGTCAGGGTCCTTTCGGTGACCGCGTCGAGGCATCTTTGTGATCCCGCCACTGCCATCAGTTACAATAAGTCCACCAGACGAAGACAACGACGTGATGGAAACCTTCCTTCACGTGGGTTGCTCCTGTTTAGTTGTTTTCTCTCTTGAACTAAGTGGAGCCGGTGTGACCTCACCTGTGATTAATCACGCGCATAATTGTGCACTCTGTAGCATATCAGAACCTACAAAAACATTTAGCATAGCTACGGGTAGCCTAACTGTTGTCAACCGTCGCCCTTACAGTCAACCCTCCCCGCCTTTTACTTTTGAATCCCTCTTCCGATCCCTTTGAACCTCTTATCCTAACCAATCGTCTTTGAGGCCTCCCTGTACCAATTGGAGGCCTTGATTGACTTCCTGACTGTCCGTTCACATGTACGATATGTCAGGTAAGCGGTCTGTTGCCTCAGTCATTACATATCTATTATTAATTGTATAAGTACGTATTGTTTCGTTCATGTAGTATTAGCAGGGGCTGTAGGAGGCGCGACAGATGTTTTGGGCTGATGTTAGATATTAAAATGTATCATGTTAAATTTTTGTTAAATGTTAACTATTATATTCTTAGTTTTTTCGGTAAAGTCACGTTGAAGAGAAACAACAAAATAACAAAATATATATAAAACAATAAAAATTCTCACGACGTTTCGACCATAACTCAAACGGTCATCATCAGGTGTGTCGGTTTGCATAAATCTATTTTGAAAACGGCATGTTTATTTATTTATATATATAAAAATAACGTTTGCGTCACGCGCAACGATGGCAGTTTGCCAGGACTAGTCCATCTATTTTTTGAAAAGAGGAGGGGGGAGACGAAATTTGTTTTTATGTATGCTGTCTGAAAGGCACTGTAAGCGTGAACAATCAATCAAGAACTGAAATGATTTATCAAATCTTTCCAATGATTGCTAAGATAGAATCCATCTTCTCGGTTGAAATTGTCTCTGTGTTTGTATATGTGGATAGCCTCATGAACGAATCTCTCATGGAAGCCAGATGGCTTACAAAGAACCTCCGTCTTGGAAAAGTCAATGGCATGTGAGCCTACTGAATTAGAACAATGATCTGCTACGGCCGAGGTGTTGGTCCTACCGTGTTTAAGGTCTGCTTTATGTTCACGAATGCGGTCCGAGATATGGCGTTTGGTTTCTCCAATGTAACTACTACCACAGAGGCAACTTAGTTTGTAGACACCAGGGTATTGTATGTCCGATATCACATCTTTTACAGACGGAACCAGATCACGGATTTTATGTAATGTGTTGAAACGGACCTGGATCTTGTGTTTATTCAAGATTTTGGAGATCTTTTTTGTGATCCCAGCAATGTAGGGTAAAGTGATGGTTTTGAAAGGCTCCTCAAGAGGGTTCTTCTTCATGGTTTGAGTGATAGCTTTGCGGATTGTATAGTCGGAGTAACCATTAGCCCTAAGAGCTTGGTGTACGTGCTTGAGTTCACTGCTTATGTGTTCCTGGTCGGATATGCATTGGGCTCTATGATACAGAGTCTTGATGAGAGAATTCTTCTGTGATGGATGGTGGTGGGAATCCGGTTTCAGATAAGCATCCGTATGGGTAGCTTTCCTGTAGACAGAGTGGCTCATTGAACCATCAGGTCTCTTTTTAATTAGGACATCCAAAAAAGGTATCTTGCCATCTATTTCGACTTCCATGGTAAATCTGATGGCTGGGTGTATGGAATTGATGTGGTCGAAGAATTGGTCTAGAGCAGGCCGGCCATGTGGCCAGATGACAGAAGTGTCATCCACGTACCTCTTCCATAAGGTTGGGCGCAGAGTGGCAGTCTGGATGGCGTCAGTCTCAAATTTCTCCATGAAAATGTTAGCTATAACTGGAGAAAGGGGGGAGCCCATTGGGGTGCCCTCAGTTTGTTTGTAGAAAGTTCCATTCCAAGTGAAGTATGTATTGGTTAAACAGTGTCTCACCAGGGGGGGTACCTCATGGAGAAATTTGAGACTGACGCCATCCAGACTGCCACTCTGCGCCCAACCTTATGGAAGAGGTACGTGGATGACACTTTTGTCATCTGGCCACATGGCCGGCCTGCTCTAGACCAATTCTTCGACCACATCAATTCCATACACCCAGCCATCAGATTTACCATGGAAGTCGAAATAGATGGCAAGATACCTTTTTTGGATGTCCTAATTAAAAAGAGACCTGATGGTTCAATGAGCCACTCTGTCTACAGGAAAGCTACCCATACGGATGCTTATCTGAAACCGGATTCCCACCACCATCCATCACAGAAGAATTCTCTCATCAAGACTCTGTATCATAGAGCCCAATGCATATCCGACCAGGAACACATAAGCAGTGAACTCAAGCACGTACACCAAGCTCTTAGGGCTAATGGTTACTCCGACTATACAATCCGCAAAGCTATCACTCAAACCATGAAGAAGAACCCTCTTGAGGAGCCTTTCAAAACCATCACTTTACCCTACATTGCTGGGATCACAAAAAAGATCTCCAAAATCTTGAATAAACACAAGATCCAGGTCCGTTTCAACACATTACATAAAATCCGTGATCTGGTTCCGTCTGTAAAAGATGTGATTTCGGACATACAATACCCTGGTGTCTACAAACTAAGTTGCCTCTGTGGTAGTAGTTACATTGGAGAAACCAAACGCCATATCTCGGACCGCATTCGTGAACATAAAGCAGACCTTAAACACGGTAGGACCAACACCTCGGCCGTAGCAGATCATTGTTCTAATTCAGTAGGCTCACATGCCATTGACTTTTCCAAGACGGAGGTTCTTTGTAAGCCATCTGGCTTCCATGAGAGATTCGTTCATGAGGCTATCCACATATACAAACACAGAGACAATTTCAACCGAGAAGATGGATTCTATCTTAGCAATCATTGGAAAGATTTGATAAATCATTTCAGTTCTTGATTGATTGTTCACGCTTACAGTGCCTTTCAGACAGCATACATAAAAACAAATTTCGTCTCCCCCCTCCTCTTTTCAAAAAATAGATGGACTAGTCCTGGCAAACTGCCATCGTTGCGCGTGACGCAAACGTTATTTTTATATATATAAATAAATAAACATGCCGTTTTCAAAATAGATTTATGCAAACCGACACACCTGATGATGACCGTTTGAGTTATGGCCGAAACGTCGTGAGAATTTTTATTGTTTTATATATATTTTGTTATTTTGTTGTTTCTCTTCAACGTGACTTTACCGAAAAAACTAAGAATATGAATTACTGCAGTCACGAAAGCTTTAAATCAAAATTTAATGTTAACTATTGTTAAATATGATAAGCGGCTGTTATCACAATTGGACCGAGGAATTCAGCTGCAAGGTTGTGACGTGGAGGGTATCTCTGATTGCTATTGCAGGTACACAATTGCCCTTCTGAAGAGGACTTTTGAAATACAGCACAGAGTCCCCGGGTTATGGAAGGGATAGGTTCCCGAGAACGGTCTGTAACCCGAATTTTCCGTATGTCGTAAACTGAACATTTTCCACCCAAAATAAAGATAAATTCCATGCAATTTAATCAACAACCTCACCGCACTGCACTACTTGTGCTTACGTAACTAACGCAAACATTTCCACGTATTTAATTTTTTGTAACATGATTTATTTCCGTAAGGTCGGATTTCCGTAAGTCGGGTCTTCCGCAACCCAGAGCCTGTCTGTAAAGTTTGGCCGTTTCACAAACGCCCCCTGGTGTTCAGCCGTTGTCGAGTCGCCCACTTCTCCGGCTGACAGACCACAACGCAGAGTCACTGTTCATCGTCTGAGAACTTTATTTTTTTTATTGTTGTCTATTTAGCCCATCCCACACTCCTTGAAAGGATTCATGACGGGAGGAGAGGGGACAGGGTGGACCGACTACGTGAGCAATGTTGTAACTCCCTGACCCGCCCCCTACTGCTGAACATTTGTGGAAAAAAAATAGCTTCATAGCTCATTGGATTCTTACAGTGTGACAATGTCATGAATGTCGTCAACTGGCTACCGGACATTGACTATGTTGTCCTGTTTAGTATGAATTGCAACTTTTTGTTGAGTTGGCATCTTGTGCACTTTCCACGACAATGGACATTCATTTAGTATATTTAACATCTCAATGGAATGGATAAACCCAAAGAGTAATCCGCAGAATTCTAAACTATCGAATATTAGCCTACTTGAGAAATGGCCTGTGTATCACTCCATGGGCAAAAAGATAAAGATGCAGATCCCCCCTACAGCCTGAACAGACTGTTGGGGCAAGTGCTGTTAGCGAGCAGCTCCTATTAAGGTCAGCGCGGCACACGAGGGGGTGGGTGGCCAGGACCATGCCCAACCGCCTTTGTCTCCCTAGTGGCGATGTTTTTACACACCGCACCAGGTATTCATTTGAGGCTGAGTCGCCCACGGGGAGGCCCAGGACTGGTTCACATAATGGCTATCACTAGTGTTGGCCGTGAGCGGGAATCGAACTCGGGTCGCCGGGTTCGTAGTGCAGCGCGCTAATCACTGCGCCGCCACTCCACTTCAGGGGCGCACACGAACACACACCCGATGTCACATCAATTCATACCGAAATGATTCTGATATCACCAGTTTATCACCACATGAAGTAAAAATATTTTCCTATTCACGATGCACAATGCACGATACACTTCCAACGATAAACACACACAGAGTTAACCGCCTCATGTTTTACAGGGTCATTCATACGCGTCCTCAATTACAGGTAAATAGCTGGACTATTGCAGCGGTTGGCCGTTTCTTTCATTTATATGAACACGGGAGGGGTGGGTGGAGGAAGGGGGGAAAGAGTCTAACATGTGTGAGTGCAGGTTGGTTGTGAAGGATCTCAGGCAATGAACAATGTGGGATGATGAAAAAATAAGAATAAGTTTTACAGCTTCTGGCAATAAATCAGGTGTTAAGATGATCAAACATCAAATAGTAACCTTTTGCAAGGCATCAAGTCTGCATTAACCACACATAGGTCTGTCAAAACATGCTAATAAACATGTGATAATAATGTATGCATTGTCTTTGAAACCGATTGTACGGCCTTGTCTCACCAGTGTTAGACCAGAGAATACTAAAAGACGAACAGACAATGCATATGTTATCAGAGCATGTTTGTTTGCAAGTTTTGCCACCACAATTACGTGTGGATGAATGCAGACTGTTTGAACATCTTAACACCACCTGTTTTATTGCCAGAACGGGGTAAAACCTATTCTTATTTTTTGTCATCATCTTGGATACTGCCCAAAAAGGTTCAACACAACAATGTGGGAGTCGCCAAAGGGGCGCTGGGGTCTGACGAATGTCTATTTTGAAATCATCGACGTTGAAACAACATTACCCATAATAATAGTTTTTTGTTGGGTTAGATCACGGAAATTCAATTGTGTTGTTAAACCTGCCACCACCCTACACAGAGCCAATCTGTAAAGGGTTTGTCACGTAAATAAAACGTGACCAATTCGTTTACTAGTTCAGCACTAACCGGTTTTTGTATGTTGGAGGGTAAACCCACAATATTTACAATTCAAGTACGATGATGTTTCGCCGGTAATCACAACCAGCCTCGTCAGGCAACAGCCAGAGAGTTGTGGAGAAATCTTCCTCCTGGTTTGGTCGTAAATAGAGAGCTAAATATGTCGTCACTTGTGAGCCAATAATCAAGTGCGGAGTTCATCATACATACAAATCGAATGAAATCCCAACGAGGATGCATTGGGAGCAGCACAACCACCACCACCATCCAGACACAGACAATTAGTAAAGTTTGTCACGTAAACAAAACGTGCCAATTTACTTAGTTCAGCACTCACCGGTTGTGTGTTGGAGAGTAAACCCACGACATTTACAATTCGAGTACCGTGAGGTTTTGCCAGTAATTACAACCAGCATCATCCTCTTGTTGCGGTCTTAAATACATCCCTACTAATTAATACACGTCGTTCACGAGCACAATACACAAATCGGTAAATGTATTCCGGAGAAAAGAAAACCCATTCACCATTGCTTTCAATGTCAAATGGGAAAACCTCAGGATTCAAGATTTCTACCGGGTAGTTCTAGGGGCGCCTCTTTATAATCATCACTTCCCGCACCTCTGATTAGCGCGGTTCGCTACGTACGTTGCGAAAGTTCACCAACACGTACATACGTACACACTCCGGCAGAGTCCTTCTTCCCACACTGCACGCGCACCCACGGGCCTCTCACCGGTGCGTGTTCTTGTGCTTCTCCAGATGGTAGCGGTGCGCAAAGTCCTTCCCGCACTCGCCGCACACGAAGGGCTTCTCGCCCGTGTGCGTCCTCGTGTGCTTCTCCAGGTCAGAGCGCTGCACGAAGCCCTTCCCGCATTCGCCGCACACGTGCCTCCACTCGCCCGTGTGCAACACGGAATGCCCCTCCAACTTGGAGCGCTGCGCGAAGCCCTTCCCACACACCTTGCACACGTGCGGCCACTCGCCCGTGTGGGTAATGGAGTGCGCCGCCAATTGCTCGCGCCACTTGAACCCCTTCCCGCACTCGCCGCACACGTGCGGCTTCTCGCCGGTGTGCGTGATGGCGTGCTTGTCTAGGCAGGAGCGCTGCGCGAAGCCCTTCCCGCACTCCTTGCAGATGTGGGGCTTCTCGCCGGTGTGCTTCCTCTTGTGCTTCTCCAGATCGGAGCGCTGCGCGAAGCCCTTCCCGCACTCGCCGCACGCGTGCGGCCACTCGCCTGTGTGCGACGCGGAATGCGCCTCCAATTTTGAACGCCTCGTGAAGCCCTTGCCGCACTCCTTGCACGCGTGCGGCTTCTCGCCGGTATGGATCCTGAAGTGGATCTTTAAATCGTACGACCGCATGAAGCCCTTCCCACATTCCGTGCACGCGTGCGGCCACTCGCCCGTGTGCGACACGGAGTGCGCCTCCAAGTGAGAGCGCTGCGCAAAGCGCTCCCCACACTCCTTGCACGCGTGCGGCTTCTCGCCGGTGTGCACTATAAAGTGAGTCTTTAAGTCGAAACTCCGTGCGAACCCCCTCCCGCACTCTTTGCACACATAAGGTTTTTCCCCCGTGTGCGTCCTGACGTGCTTCTGCAACTCGTAGTTACACGAAAACCCCTTTCCGCAATACGCGCACACGTGCTTCCTGCCGTCAGCGGCGCTCGTCGCGTTACGGGCCTCGCGATCGACGGCCGGCACGGTCGCCTTTCCGTCGGCGCGTGGCCTCTGCCGGCTGCCGATGGATGACAAGGCGACACTGTGGAGCGTCTTGCCGCACCGCGTGCAGCCTTCTCGCGGGGTCTGGCAGATGCGCCCCACTTCGTCCGTCGTCGTTTCGAAGCAACCGCCCCTCCTGCACTCCTCGCACAGAAGCCTCCTCCCTTTTGCTTCAACCGCTGCGGGGTTTTTAAATAAAAATAAAACACAAATAGTTTGATCTACTGATTGGAGGAAAATACATTTTTAACAAACATAGCTCCGTCAATCAATTTAATATGCATATCTCGGTTAAATGGTGTCTTGCATGCGAGCATCACAAATACTTGGAAATCATATTAGTATATGAAACATGTTATGCACAATCTGCCTGTTTGGTTAAATAAAAAGTGAATGGACATGATCTTACTTCAAATACTTAAACTATTTGACCAGATAAGGCCCACTGAATAATGTGGCTCTTTTTCAAAAGTGACCTGGCCACCAATGATAGCTCAATGAAGTGGCTTATCACGTGGAAATGTATAGCAACAGCCAAATACTCTAAAAGCATGTTTCTAAATGTGGAGGGAAAAACTGGAGGACATAGAGAAACATCCACGTGACCACGGGGAGAGAGGGAGACATGCAAACTCACAATATACCGGCGTCAGGGTCGGTATCAAACCCACAACTTCCTGTATACCAGGCGAGGTAATTAACATCTCGCCACTGTGGTACAATCTACAAGTATGTCATCATCATAGGCTATCCCTCGCAATCAAGGATGACTGTCTTCCATAGAAGAGTTGGATTATCTGCGGGTCTGAAGATGGCTGAAGAGACCGATCTGAGATTGACAGATTCTGTTGCAGCTCGGCCACACGTGTCCAGAATGAGTGGTGGATGGAACTGAATTAGTAAGTCAGGCTGCAGTATGTTGTTCCCGCTTTTCCTGTTTCTGCCGTTGAGCATCAAAATGTTCGGATCCTTGAAAGAGACTCTCTGTGTCTGTCTCCAACTGAGTTGATCCTGGGCAAGAATCTCCTATGAGTTGGTGTGCACCATCGACTTCTTCATGTTGGCATTGAGGACATCCTTCAAGTGCTTTCTCTGCCCTCCTCTTGAACGCACACCCCGACTAAGCTGGGTGTAGAAGACTCTTTACTTCGGGAGTCTGGAGTTGGGCATACGGACGTGGCCGGCCCAGCGAAGCTGATGTCGAATGATCATGGCCTTAATGCTCATGGTGTTTGTTTGCGAGAGGATGCTAATGTTCATGCACCTGTCTTCCCACCTGATTTTAAGGTTCTTCGGCAGGCAGCGTTGATGGCACTTCTCTAGGGCTTTGAGATGTCTCCTGTATATTATCCACGTCTCAGCTCCGTACAGTTAGGTAGAGATTATGACTACTTGATAAACCATGATCTTGGTTTTGGACCTGATGTCACGTTCCTTAAACACCTTTTTCCTCAACTGACCAAACGCTGCTTCCGAGGTATTGGAAATGCTCAACATTTCCCAGAGTCTCACCATGGATGGAAATTGTCAGAGCTGGGGACTGCTCATTGAGAACTGTTTGATGGAGGACTTTATTCTTTAAAATATTCAGCGTCAGTCCAATTTTCTCATATGCTTTAGTAAAAGTTTTGACAATTGCCTGAAGATCTGCTTCTGATTGGGCACACACAAAAGCATCGTCAGCATACTGGAGCTCAACAACTGCTGCCAGGATGGTCTTAGTTTTAGATCTAAGTCGGTTGATGTTGAACAACGTTCGGTAGTTTAGCTCCACTCATGCTCGAAACTTGCCAGCAGTTAGCTGTAGCATCGCAATGAATATTGAGAAGAGTGTTGGAACGATGACACAGCCTTGGTTGACTCCAGTGTTAACTTCAAAATGGTTTGAGATGGAGCCATTTCTAAGAATCACTTCTCACATACCATCATGCAGCAGCCAAAGAATGTGACAAATTTTAAATGGACATCCATACTTTTGAAGGATCCTCCACAGTGCTTCTCGGTTGACAGAATCAAGGGCTTTTGTCAGGTCAAAGAAGGCCATGTAGAGAGGTTTGTGTTGTTGCTGACATTTTTATTGCATCTGACGGGCAGTGAAGACCATGTCAGTTTTGCCTCTCGATGGCCTGAACCCACATTGAGATTCTGGGAGGAGTTCATTAGCAAGTGGCAGAAGATGGTTCAGGAGAGTTCTTGCAATGATCTTTCCTGCAGTGGACAGCAAGGTGATCCCCCTGTATTTTCCACAATTGGATTTATCTTCTTTCTTAAAGATTGTCACAATCATGACATCCGAGGTCGTTTGAGATTTCCTAGTATTTACAAATCTTCAAGATGAGTGCTTGGAAGCAATGACATGAGCTCCTCTCCCCCTTGTTTGAAAATTTCAGCAGGGATTCCATCAGCTCCAGATGCCTTATTGTTCTTCATCTGCTTGATAGCTTTCCTCACTCCATCAATGGTTGGGGGGATTTCAAGCTCATTTCTGATTGGGTGTCGTGGGATGGAGCAGAAAACATCGACGAACGAGTCTCGGTTGAGAGACTTTCAAAATGCTCCTTCCAGCAAGTGTTGACAGCTTCCCTCTCCTTGATCAGATTTTCTCCATTCTTAGGCCTCATGTGGGTTGGTCCCCGAGTGGTCAGACATAGGCGGTTCTGGTGGCACTGAAAAAGCCGCGCATATTATGGATGTCAAAAAGATGTTGGATCTCTTTCACCTTGTCTTCCCGCCATCTGTTTTTCATATCGCGGGTCCTCCTCTGGACTGCTGCCTTCGCTTGTAGGTGATTCAACCTATTTTGCTTGGAATTGGTGTAATTTGGCCAAGCACAAAAAGCCTTGTGTTTGCGATCGATCAACTGTTGGATCTCCTGATCATCAAACCAGTCTTGATGTTTCTTTGTAGAACCTCCAAGTTTCTCTTTACAGGTATTAATAGACTTCTTGAGACCTTCCACGTTGAACTTCCGTCGGCATCTCTTCCACTGCAGCCATCGCTTGGGTGCCAGTTTTAATGGACATGATTGAGCAGATGAGTCGGTGATCAGTTCAGCAATCATCAGCTTCTAGCACAGCTTGGGTGATGGAGAGATCTTTACGGTCCTGGGCACGAATAATTATGCAATCGATCAAGTGCCAATGCTTAGATCGTGGATGTTGCCAAGTTTTGTATTTGTTTTTCTGGCAGAACAGGGTGTCGGTGACGATGAGTCCATGTTCCATACATTTAGTCAAGACGAGGATGCCGTTGGAATTGACTTTTCCCACTCCTTCCTTGCCAATGGTTCCATTCCAGAGGCTTAAGTGCCTTCCTAATCTGGCATTAAAATCACCGAGACGAATACGTTTGTCTCCTACAGAAATGGTAGAAACGACCTTGTCAAGGTTGGCGTATAATTCTTCTTTGGTTTTATCATCAGAATCAAGAGTGGGTCATATGCACTAATGACAGTGGCAGATCGCCTCCCCACCAGTTTTAGACGAAGAGTCATGAGGCGCTCACCGATTCCGATGGGTAACTTGACAAGCCGATTAATGAGTTCGTTCTTGATGGCGAAACCAACTCCGTGCAGCCGCCGTTGTTCTTCCTGTCTGCCTTTTCCAGAAGAGTGTTTAGTCACCTCCTTGAGCTGCTCCTCCCCCTTGCTCACTGAGTGTCACTGAGGGCAGCCACGTCAATGTTGTGTCATCTGAGTTCCCAGGCCACGATTGTGGTGTGGCGTTCTGGGCATTCGTTTTTAGGCTTGTCCATAAGGGTCCTGATATTCGAGATCCCAAATTAAATGTTCTGGCTTTTAATTTTTGTTTCCACTGCAGCAATGGTGATCCCTCTGGAGGCGGCTATCTAGTCAGGAAGGAGTGAGACAGACTATGTTTAGGGCACCTTTTCTAGCCCCTTTCCCACGTGAGGTGAGCAGAGTGGATCCTAAAGTGGACTGCTCAGTCACAGCTGCCAAAACACACTCCTGTCTCCTCCAAGTGTAAGACATCCTTCTTGTAGCAGCCGCCTTCATGCCAGCTTGAGACGAGAAGCTTCCAGACTTCACAATCCTGCTCCCTTAATCACTAGCTGGTCGCCAAAGGACTTGTATTGAATGTGCTGGAAGCTGATGTTCCTTCAATGAAAGACGCCTGTGCGTGATTTATTTTATTGTGAACCTGTTGCACAGCAGCTTCTGGACAGAACGCGACTATAAATCCAATGGCAAGGAGACCAAGACGATTGCAGATATGGTTCTGCTGCAGCCTTCATCTGCCTTCACAGCCGTTAAAAGATCTGAACATCTTCTTCTGCCTACTCTGCCGTCGAGGACGTATTAACCCATGGCTGGAGGCAGGTAGGATTATTATAATGGTGGCCTATAATCGCCATGTCACAGCATCGTCAAAGGGTAAATGTGGCTTTTCAAGAGGAAAAGCATTGCCATCTGCACTCCTGACCACACCCTGGTGGTGCTCGAGCAGTTTGGTCCACAACTTATTCGTGAGGGTTGCCCCCTGCTTATTTCGCACACAACCTCCACAGAAGGTCTTTCCACTGTCCGCCACCTGCGGACGTGCTGGGTAGCGGTGCAGTTCTGCCTCCAGAGCTGCACTGCTCCATACAAGTATGTAAAGGAGCGAAGCAAGAGAGAGAACCTCACGAGGAAGAGGCGGAAGAATGATGAGGGTTACAGATACAATTAGCAAGGGCAAAAACAGACAAATGAAAGCGGGCAGGAGCGATGCGGAAGGACTGCGAGGTGATACAATTGGGACCTCTCACCTTCACCAGCATCCTCCTCTGATGACTCCACCTTGATGAAGTTTGGGTCTAAATTGTCAACGTATCCATGGGAATCGTCCGTGCCCTCTGGTCTCTCACTGGTTTCTCCAACTTGACGAGTATTTGGATGCAGAACTGCACATTTATAATAAAAAATGTCTTACGGTCTTTCAAACATAGGAGTTGTAATACATAAATAAACATGGCCAGTTACATATATCAGCCCTCACCACCGCTAAGAATGATCAACGTTGAATCAGTTGAGTCCTTTGAAGCTTGGGTGTTTAAAAGTTAATTAATCGCAAGTTATTTACTTACAGCAAGTAGATTTAAACCACCACAGATGCTGTTCAGATAGCCAACCTGAATAGCACAAATACGTTTTTTTAACATCTAAACACCTGATTTAAAGCTTTCGTGACTGCAGTCATTTTTATTGTTTATATATATATTTTATTATTTTGTTGTTTCCCTTCAACGTGACTTTACCGAAAGAACTAAGAATATCTAAACACCTGTATATTTTTTTCATCTAGTATCAAGATGATGAAAAATAGCAAAAAGAGCCCCACAGATACATTGTGCGTTCCTTTAACCGCCAGTTTAATTCTCACTCTTTTGTTACAGGCACCCCAAATGTCGATGTGTGTGTGCGCATATTTTATGAGGGATAAATTATATGCCCGGGATTTGATTGTCTGAAGAACATGACTGGACCTCCATTAGTAAACCATATAGTGCCATATTTACTGAGCCTGAAATTTGTTTTACTACAATTAAAAAGCCCTGATATAACACGGCTCATTAACCAGCAGACTCGGGTAGAGTTGCGTTCCTGGTGAACACCGCGTTATGGGAAAATCGCGTTGTCCGCGATAAGGTGTGAGATGCGTACGCAGGCCGAACAAAGACTGAGGATTCATATTCTTGGTTCTTTCGGTAAAGTAACGTAGAAGGGAAATAATAAAAATAAAACAATACAATTATCACGACGTTTCAATTGCAACACAAGCAATCATCATCAGGTGTGAAAACCGAAAACCACAGCAATAATTTTTTTAAAGTGGCATTTTTTTCTTAACGTTAGCACCACGGACAGCGACTGGCGGTTGTTCAGATGGACGAGTCCATCTATGCTCCGAACGGAGGAGTGGGGAGAGAAAGAGAATGGAATGCGGTCTGAAAGTCACCGTAAGCGTGAACAAAATCAATCAAGACCCGAAATGGTTGATCAAATCCTTCCAATGATTGCTAAGCCAGAATCCATCTTCTCCGTTGAAATTGTCTCTGTGTTTGTATATGCGGATATTTTTTATTATTTTATTATTTCCCTTCTACGTGACTTTACCGAAAGAAACAAGAATATGAATCCCTGCAGTCACGAAAGCTTTAAAACGAAAAGACTGAGGAATGTGGGTAGCATTTCGAAGCATCCAGCAGCATCTCACCTTATACGATGCTACGCCGATTCAGTCGTATTACAATCGCTTATTCCTACTTGCGCGAAGTAGTTCTGTTCACGCGATCGCGTTATATCCAATTCGCATCCGTGTTGCAACAATTTGTTCCCTGACACATTCAACGCATTTAATGTGTCAGGGAACAAATTGTTATGAAAACACGCGGCATTATAGGAGAACAGTCTGTACTGTACATACTGTGGGGTCAAGTTATGCCACCCCCCCCCCCCACCCCAAAAAAATCTACCGTTAACTTCATATTGCTTGGCTTTATATCGTTGGGGAGAGAGGAGTAGGTATTTGTGAAGTTCAGCTAATTCCCCCAGAGTGTGCTTTCCAACTCTGACGTGGGTCGCTTGTCATACCGGCAGTGTTATCCATGTCCCAAGTGTTGCGTTAGCGAGTAGCAGCGCCACCTATGAAGGCCGCCTCGCCACACGAGCGGCGTGGGGTGGCCAGCACCACGCCCGGACGCTTTTATCTCCCCCAGTGGCGATGTTTACTACACACCCCACCGGGTACTCGTTTGAGGTTGGGTCGACCGAGTGGGAGGCCCAGGACCGAGTAAAGAAAATTGTCACCGGTGTTGGTAGCCGTTGGCGGGCGTTGAACCCGGGTAACCGGGTTAATAGTACAGCGCACTAACCGCTGTGCCACCGCTCCTCACAATCCATGTCCCCCGACACACGCGCTATGTTTGGCTTTTACTACAATGTTTCTCATATCGTTGCAATCTGTCGTATCCCAGCTAGAAATATTGTAAACGTTTGGATGACTGCCTGTGGGAAACTCATTCTTCATTCAAGAGCATCTATTAGTTTACCTCTTGTACGCACCCTGATATGACCACAAATGAACTGTGATTTCTTTCCCTCTCGAAGATCGGTTGGCTCTACTGGTGTTTTAAACAGTAGCCAGGTATTGAACTTCTTTCGCACCGTACGTAGCCAACCGTGCTAATCGGAGGTGCGGGGGGAAGGACAATAAACTAAACACAAAAAGCAGTTAGAAAGAAATGAGTTTTATATCAAGATGATTATTTAAAAGTGCATAGCTCCACCGGTTTCCTAATATCGGAAGAGCATTCCAGACAGCCGCAGTAATCGCATCTGAAAGCGCATGATGCGGTGACCACCTTTGTTCGATGGCCCAGCCAAAAGCCGCTGCTGCGAGGATGACCGGAGTTCAAGTGATGGCTCATGCTCCTTGAGATCAGCGAGATGCTGTGGTTCATTTGTGGCGAGCACTTTGCGTGCAACGAGTGCAACCAACGGAAGCATCCATCGACGGTAACACAAGACGACATCGCACATTTGTCTGCGATGCGCTCGAAATGGAGACTCACCTTGACCAGTGTCCTCCAACAACTCCACCTGGATGAACTTTTTTATGTCATCCGCCCACACCTCCACCTTGGTGGTCAAGTTCTGTTTTGGATTGGCAGGATGTCCGTCGTGGCAATCCGCCATCCCCTCTGGATTCTCGGTGGCTTCTTCAGCCTTAACGGAATTGACATCTGGAGCTGTAATTCAGAAAATGCACCGCGGTAATTTTGACGGATGGCAGATTTATTACATTACAAAACGCAGGCTGGAGAGGGATATTTCTCCTACCAATATTACAATTCTCATTGCGCTGCCATAGTTGGGACTCTCAGAGGCTTGTCCATAAGAGGTCTATTTAAATTTCGCTTTCGTGACTGCAGGGATTCATATTCTTGGTTCTTTTGGTAAAGTCACGTAAAAGGGAAATAATAAAATAAAAAAAGCAATTAAATTATTACGTTTCGATTGCAACAAAAACAATCATAATCAGGTGTGAAAACCACATCAAAAAAAATTCTTACTGTGTTTTTCACACCTGATGATGATTGCTTGTGTTGCAATCGAAACGTCGTGATAATTTTATTGTATCATTTTTATTATGCTATTATTTCCCTTCTACGTGACTTTTTGGGTTAGATCGCAGAAATATACAGGTAGTCCCCGACTTACGACGGTCCCCGACTTACGATATTTCAATCTTACGATGATGGCGATAGCGATACGACAAAATTGTAAAATATTTTAAATTTCGCGCGGCAGGCAAAAGCAGCAGCGTACGAGGTACGATACTGTAACTTTATCATCGCCATCCTCCTCTTCCGACAACTAAGTTAATGTATCCATCAACAACCTAACATTGTTCAAGTATGCAGACGACGGACAGAATCTTGGCGAGTACAGTAGAATATGATACGTTATAATACGTTCAACGCATGTATGATACGTAGCTTTAGCGATTTTATTTTAGGGTTACCACGATACGATACTTACGTTCAATGCATGTTAAAAGTTTTTACAGCAGATAGGATTGTTTCCTGAAAAAAACTTTCTATGAAATTGCAGTTCATATAGGTAGGCTAAGAAATTACCTTGTTTTTTACTTAACATTTTACTGTGCAATACAGTATTGTAATTAATAAATACATACAGTATATAGTTTATACAGTACGGTACTGTAAATTGCTCTGTTTTGCTACATTATCACCATTCTTTAAGGCTCCTGGGTAGGCTAGGCCATTTCGACTTACGATATTTTCGACTTACGATGGGGTCGTTGTAACGCACCTCCATTGTAAGTCGGGGACTACCTGTAAATGTTTCGTTAAACCCGCCAGCACCAGACACAGCCAATTAATAAGATTTATCACGTACACAAAACGTGCCAATTAGTTACTAGTTCAGCACACCAGTTGTGTTTTTTATTTTTATTATTTTATTGTTTCTCTTCTACGTGACTTGACCGAGAGAACCAAGAATATGAATCCCTGCAGTCACGAAAGCTTTCAATCTAAATTTAAACCCACAAACATTTACAATTCGAGTAGCTGTAATGCTTTGCCGGTAATTACAACCAGCCTCATCAGGCAACAGCTATAAATTAAATGGTAATGAATTAGCATTTATTTATTTAAGTAGCAGATTTAAGCTCGTGTGCTGGCTTTGGCTCGATGTTGTTTCAGTAACTAATCTAACCAACTCCCTACTACAAACTTGTTTCTTTTGGGTTTCTGTTTAACTTAAACCTCCAGCTTGTTTGTCACAGCTGTTGTGGGGTGTTTATATCCGTAGAGTGTTATACGTCATGGGACCTCCTTTGCCAGTACCAAAATATGAGAATAGGTTTTCCCCTTTTTTCTGGCAACAAAACAGGTGTTAAGATGTTAAAACACCAAACTGAAACATTTTACAAGGGAACACGTCTGCATTAACCACAATACTTGTGGTCAGAACGCAAACAAAAAAACACTCTGATAATATATGTGGCATTGTCTTTGAAACTGATTGGTCCACACCAGGGAGTTTTCTTTTGAGCCTAGTCTCAAAACGGTGTTAGACCAGAGGACGTCAAAATGCGTACAGCACAAAGACAATGCCACTATCAGAGTATTGAGGGCGCGGGGATGAGCATCTACATCATGGGGCCTCCTTTGCCAGTATCAAAATATGAGAATAGGCTTTCCCCTTTTTTCTGGCAACAAAACAGGTGTTAAGATGTTAAAACACCAAACTGAAACCTTTTACAAACAAAAAACGTACTCTGATAATATATGCATTGTCTTTGAAACTGACGCTCACCCCGAGCCCTCATTACTCTGATAGTGGCATTGTCTTTGTGCTGTACAACTTTTGGCGTCCTCTGGTCTAACACCGTTTTGAGACGAGGCTCAAAAGAAAGCTGTCCCTGGTGTGGACCAATACATTTCAAAGACAATGCCACATATATTATCAGAGTACTTTTTTGTCTGCATTCTGACCACAAGTATTGTGGTTAATACAGACACGATTCCTTGTAAAAGGTTCCAGTTTGGTGTTTTAACATCTTAACGACTATATTCTTGGTTCTTTCGGTAAAGTCACGAAGGCAAACAATAAAATTATAAAAATATAAAACGTAAACATTTTTTAAATTACTTTATTGTTTCCCTTCTACGTGGCTTTACCGAAAGAACCAATAATATGAATTCCTGCAGTCACGAAAGCTTTAAATCTAAATCTTCACGACTATTCTATGGGCCTTTCGGTAAAGCCATGTAGATAGAAAAATAATCAAAAATATCACGACGTTCCGCTCGCAAAACAAGCAATCCTCTTCAGATGAGAGACGATTGCTTGTGTTGCGATCGAAACGTCGTGATATTTTTATTATTATTTTTCTACCTACGTGGCTTTACCAAAAGACCCATAGACTATTTATTCCTGCAGTCACGAAAGCTTTAAGTCAAGATCTTAACGCCTGTTTTGTTGCCAGAAAAAAGGGGGAAATCTATTCTCAGGGTTATACATGTGGATGTTACCCGGGCGGATGTGTAAAGTGCTGTAGGTGTGGAAGGGCAAATGCTGATTACATTTTCTGGGGAGGCACAATTGTAAGTTATTCGCAATCAACCTATCTTCTTCTTTTGTACGGCTGATGTAGATGCAGGTTAACAACTACAATTTCACATTCAGGTGGCCAAGCCAGATAACAACCGTATCAGGAGTAGCGGAATGTTAATCGCCGTTGTCTCCTTCGTATTTGTGGTTCTGGGCATTGCATTGTTACACGTTATACGTTTTCTTCTGGATGACCAAAGTTGCACGCTACTGCAGAGTTTTTAATTTTACATTTGAGCATCGGGTATCCGCATCTGCTGCCATGGTTTGTGCAGTGGATAAGCGGTTTAGGGTGGATCATGAGCAGCTTCGTGGAAGATCAAACCCCAGGGATCTTGTGTCCTCTGAACAGGGTGACGTGACACTCGCACAACACTCACCTGTTCCTCGTCAGTCATTCAACACTTCACCTGACATTCACCACTCACCTGATCCTCAGCATTCACGAAATATTCTACAGTACATCAGGAAGCCTGTTGAGGCACCACAGTGGCAAGATGTCAATTACCTCACCTGGTATACAAGAAGTCGCGGGTTCGATCCCGACCCTGAAAGCCTGCTGTATATATGGAGTCTGGATGTTCTCTCCATGGTCACGTGGATTTTCTCTCCACACATTTAGAATCAACGTTGCGTTTAAGAGTATTTGCCTGCTACAAATGTCCACATGATGTGACAAGCCACAATCATTGGGCTATCATTTGTGATAGCCAAGTGGCTTTTAAAAAAGAGCTACACAGCACCTCAGTGGGGCCTTTTTACCTGGTCAAATAAAAACTAGTTTTTTTTTTATAGTTTCAATGGATCCTCTGACCAGACCACAATGACGCATGCCTATCCGTCGTGTGGTTCGATGGGCGAGCTCACTCACCCTGCTTAGCTCTTCTCTGAAGGCTCGCACCTGTTTCTCCTGCAGGTCTTCACTTCCCCATGTATGACCAGTGGACTCTGGACTTTGCAGTATTTATATGTCTTAACTTCTTGCACGGTGCTCTGAGATCCCTGGATGAATTTGCGCCTCATACAGTAGACTCTCGATCATCCTCGCTAATGACTGGGAGGACGGCTGTGTATTATTATTCAAAATCGCTGATAATCCAAAAATATACATTTCCCATGGATATCTGTGCCGAAAACCACTAATATAGGTATCAAATATGTTTAAGTAAATAAAATTGAGAACTAATAATAACGATCGACCTATATATGCGCGTGCTCAGTGTAGAAGACTCGGCCCACTAAGTGGATGACAGCAGAGCCACGCCAATCAACATCAAACTCCGCCCACTGTTGTAAAGATATTGCAACTACTGCACTGTAGAAGGCGATCACGTGGATTAGGGATTAACCAAAGCGCATTATTGCATGGTTTAAGCACCGTGTGACTTGTAATAAACATTTCCAAGAAGTACAACGTTTCACTGCAATTAGATTGTTACATTTGGGCTTAAGGAAAACCCCATGGGTTATTAATTTATGTCAAGATCTCAGGTGCGCGTTTTTTTCGATTTGCGGATTAACCGTGCACCTGGGATAATCAAGAGTCTATTGTAAATTATTATTATTATTTTGAAATGGGGCTGTGTGGCTCATGTCGTGTCAGGCTAAGCTCAACGCACACGGTAAATAAAATAATCGCAACGATAGTCAAACGCCTCCGTGTCAACTTGCTGCTGCCGCGACGACAATCCATGTTTGATTGTCAATCGTCGTGTTTCAAACGGAACTCACCGGCATCTTCGCATTTCATCGTGAAGTCAGGACACGCTCCAAAGCTTGGACTTTCTTCATCCTCTTGTTTGATGATCGGAAATTCCACGTACGAAGACATCTGAGGACGAAAATAAGTTTTGTTTTGCATCCAATTAGGCATGTGCAGACACACATACGCATGTGCACTGTTGTACATACACAAAGACAGACTGTTGGGGCAAACGCAGGTGCTGTTAGTGAGGATCCCATGTACAGTAAAACCTTGGATTGCGAGTAACTTGGTCTGCGAGCGTTTTGCAAGACGAGCGAAAATTTAAAATAAATATTAATTTGATAAACGAACGAGAGGTCTTGCAATACGAGTAGCGTACGTATACGCTTTGTCTGCCGAGCGTCACGTGATCACAACTGCTATACGAGTTCTTTGATATACGAGTGCTCTGGATTACAAAACGAATTCTGCTCGCAATCCAAGGTTTTCCTGTATATATGTTGAACTCGCCTCTCGGGTGCTGCTCTTTACATACCACAACCAGGTGCTCATTTAAGGCGGAGTAAACCTAGAGGAGGTAAGGGACCGGTTCAGATACCACTCGTCAAAGATTTTTGCCGTAGCTGGGACTGCATATTGTATGTCAAAAACAGATGCAAATATATATAACAAGGACGAGGATTCCCCGTGTAGCCTTAACAGACTGTTGGGGCAAGTGCTGTTAACGAGCACCTATGAAAGCTGGCACAGCACTCGAGGGGGTGGGTGGCCAGCACCAAGCCCGGCCGCCTTTGTCTTCCGAATGGCGATAATTACACGTTGCACCAGAGACTCATTTGAGGCTGAGTCATAAGGGAGGCCCAGGACCGGTTCAGATAATCGTCACTGGTGTTGGCCGTGAGTGGGAATCCAACTCGGACTGCTGGGTTCGTAGCGCACTAACAGCTACACCACCGCTCCCCACGAGGACAATAATAGAGTATTCGTGCACAACCATTAGTAAGCATAGCATCATGAAATCCCTTATAAGCATTTAGAAAAAAAAGACAATACAAGCAGCACTTGCGTGAACATTGTTAGCAAGCGCCACGTAGAATGAACACAAACACGCGCCCCAGCGATCACAACCGTTGACGCAACAGGGCGTGGGTTCGATCCAGACCCTGACGCCTGCTGTGATATTTCGAGTTTGCGGTGTCTCTCTCCCCGTGGACGCGTGGATCTTTCTCCGGGTCCTTCCGGTTTCCCCCTTCACATTTAGAATCAACATCGCGCGTTTAGAGTATTTGGCTGCTATGAATTTCCACACGATGATGAGCCACTTCGTTGGGCTATCATTTGTGATGGCCAAGGTGGTCGCTTCTGAAAAAGAATTTCACAGCTCAGTGTGGGGCCTTACCTGGTAAAGTAAAAATTATAGTTTGATATAATAGGGTTTTCCCTTTTTTTTCCTGGCAACAAAACAGGTGTGAGGAGTATGGATTCCTGCAGTCACGAAAGCTTCAAATCAAGGTGTTAAGATGTTAAAACACCAAACTGGAACCTTTTACAAGGAATCATGTCTGCATTGACCACAATACTTGTGGTGAGAATACAAAAGAAAACACTGACAATATATGCATTGTCCTTGAAACTGATTGGTACACACCAAAGGAGGTCCCATGAAATAAAGTAGTTTGATAGTTTCAATTATGCAGTAGTAGTCACCAATCAACTCCTTCAAGAACCTGACTTTTTAATTGCACTTGATGAATACATCCTTTTAATAATTATCACCGTTGTGCTATATTTAATGTTGCACGAGACTTAATGCAACAATACAATTTTTTACAGTAAATTTTGTCGACTCACCGACAGCAGCTGAATGTTAAAAAAGTTTACCGCACTACGTATGACTAACTTTTCATTTATATGCATTGGAGTTTTTCAACAAGATGGTATATACCAACAGACAGACTAAAACCTTGATATGGTACCAAGGCCGTAATTATAATAAATATGCTACAAATGCCCCCCCCCCCCGCAATATATTGCTATGCAATAGATTTATGTTGATATGATTGTGGTTACACTTTATTAATCCCTAATCTCTGCCATTACATACAATGAAACAAGAAAAGGTAAAACATTAAAAAAAAATGAGCAATCTAATACAATACACTATTAGACATTATTGTAAAACATAAAAAGTCCATCCCATGTGTTAGTGAATTCTTCAATATTTTAGGCAGGAAATTCGTTTTCAAACTTAGATTTTTTTTCTGGGAGGGGACTCCCTGTAAGATTTGGTCCCCCCCAATGTTGACTCCATGGCTACGGCCTTGTATGGTACCTTGAAGGCCTGAATATGAGTTTCAATTAAACAGTTATCACTCCACTAAAGCAAACCTGTCAACCCCTTATCAGTGCCTACCTTACTACAGACCAATTCAGACCATATTGGTCACCCCGCGCCGTTATAAATCTCAGCGTTCATCCGACAAAGTCCCACCACAAGGGAGGAACACAAACAAATAGACAAACACAAAAAATGTTGTTTTGACCGTATTGAAACGGCTGTACGCCGTATGGACTTGAAAACCCACATTTTTCCCTGTACAAGAAGAAGAATACGGAGCGAACCGTGTGAGTTAACACGGTATGACACAGGCAAGCACTGTGCACAATGTGAAGAAGAGACACACGTGGATCATCACTCAAGAGGCAGCGGATCATCACAACTGATTGACGTTAAGAACGGGCAGCAGCAGCTGCTGCGAGTAACGTGTCTTGGGAAGATTATTGATCAATAGCTTATTGATTATTCTGTGTCTGTGTGTAATATTCTGTGTATCACTCTGTGTTACATGTGTGTATTGTTGTTTGTGTCTCTTTCGATGCGTCTCTGTACGTGTCTGTGTTACTGTGTGTGTCTCTGTACGTGTCTGTGTGTCTCTGTACGTGTCTGTGTGTATTACTGTAACTCTGTACGTGGCTGCGTTTCTCTGTACTTGTCTGTGTGTGTCTCTGTACGTGTCTGTGTGTGTTACTGTGTCTCTGTACGTGTCTGTGTGTTACTGTGTCTCTGTACGTGTCTGTGTGTGTTACTGTGTCTCTGTACGTGTCTGTGTTTCTCTGTACGTGTCTGTGTGTGTTACTGTGTCTCTGTACGTGTCTGTGTGCGTACGTGTCTGTGTGTGTTACTGTGTCTCTGTACGTGTCTGTGTGTGTTACTGTGTCTCTGTACGTGTCTGTGTGTGTTACTGTGTCTCTGTACGTGTCTGTGTTTCTCTGTACGTGTCTGTGTGTGTTACTGTGTCTCTGTACGTGTCTGTGTGCGTACGTGGCTGTGTGTTACTGTGTCTCTGCACGTGTCTGTGTGTTACTGTGTCTCTGTACGTGGCTGTGTGTTACTGTGTCTCTGTGTGTGTCTCTGTGTGTGTCTGTGTGTGTTACTGTCTCTGTGTCTGTTACTGTCTCTGTGTGTCTGTGTGTTATTTTGTCTCTGTGTGTTACTGTGTCTCTGTCTGTGTTTTACTGTGTGTGTCTGTGTGTTACTGTGTGTGTTACTGTCTCTGTGTGTTATTGTGTTTGTCTCTCTCCCTACGACGTCTCCCCGGAGACTGCGAGTCGGCCTCGAGTCGGCGCCGTGTCCGCGTGCCCCACTCGGCTCACCGTGGACGCAGAGACGGGCAACACGCGACTGACGCCCCGCTCGGCCGTGTCTCTGTCCCCGCTCTCCGTGTGTCCCCGCTGTCCGTGTCTCTGTCCCCGCTGTCCGTGTCTCCGTGTCCTTCCCCGTGTCTGCAACAGCCGAGGCTGCCGTCTGTCTGTCTGCAAGTGACCTCCCCCCCCACCCCCATTCACTGTCCAGCAAGCGACAAGATGCACCGACGAAAGGAATGAAACAATTTAGCGACAAGATGCCGGACAAGCCGGGCGGTCGCCGTCCACTTAGACCCTGGCAGGTGCCACGGGTTGACCGTCTTGAGATGATTTGTGTCCAGTGCCGGATTATCCCAGTAGCAAAAGTAGCTACAACACATGTAGACATGTAGTAGTAGCTACACATGTAGTAGTAGTAGCTACACATGTAGTAGTAGTAGCTACACATGTAGTAGTCTCTACACATGTAGTAGTAGTAGCTACACATGTAGTAGTAGCTACACATGTAGTAGTAGCTACATATCTAGTAGTAGTAGCTACACATGTAGTAGTAGCTACACATGTAGTAGTAGCTGCACATGTAGTAGTAGCTACACATGTAGTAGTAGCAGCTACACATGTAGTAGTAGCTACACATGTAGTAGTAGCAGCTACACATGTAGTAGCAGCTACACATGTAATAGTAGCAGCTACACATGTAGTAGTAGCAGCTACACATGTAGTAGTAGTGGCTACAACACATGTACAGTGAGGGAAAAAAGTATTTGATCCCCTGCTGATTTTGTACGTTTGCCCACTGACAAAGAAATGATCAGTCTATAATTTTAATGGTAGGTTTATTTGAACAGTGAGAGACAGAATAACAACAAAAAAATCCAGAAAAACGCATGTCAAAAATGTTATAAATTTATTTGCATTTTAATGAGGGAAATAAGTATTTGACCCCCTCTCAATCAGAAAGATTTCTGGCTCCCAGGTGTCTTTTATACAGGTAACGAGCTGAGATTAGGAGCACACTCTTAAAGGGAGTGCTCCTAATCTCAGCTTGTTACCTGTATAAAATACACCTGTCCACAGAAGCAATCGATCAATCAGATTCCAAACTCTCCACCATGCCCAAGACCAAAGAGCTCTCCAAGGCTGTCAGGGACAAGATTGTAGACCTACACAAGGCTGGAATGGGCTACAAGACCATTGTCAAGCAGCTTGGTGAGAAGGTGACAACAGTTGGTGTGATTATTCACAAATGGAAGAAGGACAAAAGAACTGTCAATGTCCCTCGGCTTGGGGCTCCATGCAAGATCTCACCTCGTGGAGTTGCAATGATCATGATAACGGTGAGGAATCAGCCCAGAACTACACGGGAGGATCTTGACAATGATCTCAAGGCAGCTGGGACCATAGTCACCAAGAAAACAATTGGTAACACTACGTCCTGAAGGACTGAAATCCTGCAGTGCCCGCAAGGTCCCCCTGCTCAAGAAATCACATACACATGCCCGTCTGAAGTTTGTCAATGAACATCTGAATGATTCAGAGAACAACTGGGTGAAAGTGTTGTGGTCAGATGAGACCAAAATGGAGCTCTTTGGCATCAACTCAACTCGCCGTGTTTGGAGGAGGAGGAATGCTGCCTATGACCCCAAGAACACCATCCCCACCGTCAAACATGGAGGTGGAAACATTATGCTTTGTGGTGTTTTTCTGTTAAGGGGACAGGACAACTTCACCGCATCAAAGGTACGATGGACGGGGCCATGTACCGTCAAATCTTGGGTGAGAACCTCCTTCCCTCAGCCAGGGCATTGAAAATGGGTCGTGGATGGGTATTCCAGCATGACAATGACCCAAAACACACGGCCAAGGCAACAAAGGAGTGGCTCAAGAAGAAGCACATTAAGGTCCTGGAGTGGCCTAGCCAGTCTCCAGACCTTAATCCCATAGAAAATCTGTGGAGGGAGCTGAAGGTTCGAGTTGCCAAATGTCAGCCTCAAAACCTTAATGACTTGGAGAAGATCTGCAAAGAGAAGTGGGACAAAATCCCTCCTGAGATGTGTGCAAACCTGGTAGCCAACTACAAGAAACGACTGACCTCTGTGATTGCCAACAAGGGTTTTGCCACCATATACTAAGTCATGTTTTGCAGAGGGGTCAAATACTTATTTCCCTCATTAAAATGCAAATCAATTTATAACATTTTTGACATGCGTTTTTCTGGATTTTGTTGTTGTTATTCTGTCTCCCACTGTTCAAATAAACCTACCATAAAAATTATAGACTGATCATTTCTTTGCCAGTGGGCAAACGTACAAAATCAGCAGGGGATCAAATACTTTTTTCCCTCACTGTAGCTACAACACATCCAGCATCATCGGGCAATTCTGGCGAATTGCCCGATGATCCTGGATATAATTATCAGCGAAACGTCGTACTCAAACTGTAAATGTTGTGGATTCACTCAACACACCGGTGGGCTAAAGTAGTGAACTATTTTGTCTTTTGTCAACGTGACACTTTTTTGCTGATGGCCGTGTCGGGTGGTGGAGGGTTACGACGCATTTATAAATAACGCAATCTAACCTTTATTATGAATTATTTCTATCTGCGTGACTTTACCAAAAGAACAAAAGAGTATGGATTCCTGCAGTCACGAAAGCTTCAAATCAAGATTGTCTTTGTACTGTTCGCATTTCGGCGTTCTCCGATCTAACACCGGTGGTGGGACTTGGTCATGAAGAAAGCTGTCTCTGGAGTAGACCAATCAGTTTCAAAGGCAATGCCTATGTTACCAGAGCATGTTTGTTTGCATGTTCACTATAAGTACTGTGTGTGGTCAGTGCAGTACTTTGACTCCTTGTAAAAGGTTTCTATTTGATGTTTGAACGTCTTAACACCTGTTTTATTGCCAGAGAGGATAAAGCATAATTCTAGATTTGAAGTTTTCGTAACTGCAATGATCCTTACTCTTTGTAATTACAGTCATTTTGCTGTGCTAGTTACACCTGATAACGGAAGCTTGTGTTGCCTCCGAAACGTGATTTGATTTTTTTTTATTTTTACCTACGTGACTTTACCGAAAGAACCAAATAGTATGGTAAAGCATATTCGGATGTTATTCCTCTGCTTTGATACTGCCAAAAAAAGGTGTCCTATGTTGTAGCCGCTCACGCAAGATACAAATGCCCTGATCGTGCATTGCCTTTGTACTGTTCGCATTTCGGAGTTCCCCGATCTAACACCGGTGGTGAGACTAGGCCATAAAGGAAGCTGTCTCTGGTTGCATGTTCACCACAAGTACCGTACCGTGTGTGGCTATTTGGTGTTTGAACATCTTAACACCACCTCAAATTTAACACGTAAAGTATAATCTTTGTTTTTTTGTCATGCTTTGATACTGTGCCCCCCCCCCCCCAAAAAAAAAACAGGGTCCCACATAGGCCACCGTTCCGAAATCGACCGTGTTGGGTGTTTCAAGTTCAAGCTTAAAGTTTAATTTATTAGGTACTAGTTTTACTACCCGGCTTCGCCCGGGACTTGGATTCACCACGCCCGGCCGCCTTTGTCTCCCCAGTGGCGATGTTCACACAGCAGACCAGTTACTCGTTTGAGGCTGAGTCGACCTAGGGGAGGCCCAGGACCGGTTAAAATAATCGTCACCAGTGGTGGCCGTGAGCGGGAATCGAACTCGGGACGCCGGGTTTATAGCGCAGCGCGCTAACTACTACACTACAATGCGTTACGCTTCCACGTGCGTGGGTCACGTGACAGATTTGACGTCACAGATCACTTGCCGTGCAAAAAATAAATGCATTATTGAGCTCCCCCCCCCCAAAAAAGTGTTTTTTTTATAATTTTTACATGGTGTACAGCCTGGAAAGTACCCACATGGCAAATTTCAAGTTTGTTGCATGTCGGGAAGTACGCTAAACACACTTTGAACAGACACATTCACAACTTTGCCTTTTATATATATGGAGATGGAGATAGCCCTGTGAGCCATGCGGCTGCATCTTGTCGCTGCATCTTGTCGCTTGGCGTCGTCGCTGCAGCTTGTCGCTTGCCGGGCGCCAGGAGGAGAGGTCACTGCAGATGAGAGGGAGAGAGACACGGGGAGAGAGGCAGAGAGACACGAGAGAGAGACACGAGAGACACGAGAGAGAGACACGGGGAGAGAGACAGAGACACGAGAGAGAGACACGGGGAGAGACACGGGGAGAGACACGAGAGAGAGACAGAGAGACACGGGGAGAGAGGCAGAGAGACACGAGAGAGAGAGAGAGAGAGAGACACGGGGAGAGAGACAGAGACACAAGAGAGACACGAGAGAGAGACAGAGAGACACGAGAGAGAGACACGGGGAGAGACACGAGAGAGACACGGGGAGAGACACGAGAGAGACACGGGGAGAGACACGAGAGAGACACGGGGAGAGACACGAGAGAGAGAGACGGGGAGAGAGGCAGAGAGACACGGGGAGAGAGAGAGAGAGAGACACGGGGAGAGACAAGAGAGAGAGACACGGGGAGAGAGACAGAGACACACGCCGATTAATTTCGATTTTTCGGGTTGGCACGAATATTAATTTGGGCGTCGAATTTGGGGCCTCCCTGCCCCTTCCCTCCTATCCCAGACGAGTCCCTGAGAAATAATAAAACAATAAATCAGGGGGACACGGTAAGAGAGACGGATACATAAGACACACACAGACAAATACACAGTGACACGTACACACAGTGACACGTACACACAGACACGTACATACAGAGACAAATACAGACAAATAGAGAGACACGTACACACAGAGACACAGACACGTACACACAGAGACACAGACACGTACACACAGAGACACAGACACGTACACAGAGACACAGACACGTACACAGACACACGTACACATGGAGACGGAGACATAGACACGTACACAGACAGAGAGACACGGAGACGCAGAGAGACACGGAGTGAGACGCAGAGAGACACGGAGCGAGACGCAGAGGGACACGGAGCGAGACGCAGAGAGACACGGAGCGAGACGCAGAGAGACACGGAGCGAGACGCAGAGGGACACGGAGCGAGACGCAGAGAGACACGGAGTGAGACGCAGAGAGACACGGAGTGAGATAGAGGGACACGGAGCGAGACGCAGAGAGACACGGAGCGAGACGCAGAGAGACACGGAGCGAGACGCAGAGGGACACGGAGCGAGACGCAGAGAGACACGGAGCGAGACGCAGAGGGACACGGAGCGAGACGCAGAGGGACACGGAGCGAGACGCAGAGAGACACGGAGTGAGACGCAGAGAGACGGAGTGAGATAGAGGGACACGGAGCGAGACGCAGAGGGGTACGGAGCGAGACGCAGAGGGACACGGAGCGAGACGCAGAGAGACAGAGCGAGACGCAGAGAGACACGGAGCGAGACGCAGAGAGACACGGAGCGAGACGCAGAGGGACACGGAGCGAGACGCAGAGGGACACGGAGCGAGATGCAGAGAGACACGGAGCGAGACGCAGAGAGACACGGAGCGAGACGCAGAGAGACACGGAGCGAGACGCAGAGGGACACGGAGCGAGACGCAGAGGGACACGGAGCGAGACGCAGAGAGACACGGAGTGAGACGCAGAGGGACACGGAGCGAGACGCAGAGAGACACGGAGCGAGACGCAGAGAGACAGAGTGAGACAGAACGGGGATTTGGAGAGATGCACGGAGCCACCGAGACGAAGATACATAGCGACTAAAACACAGGGATACTGCATGCACATGTAGACAGACAATGGGACACAGAGAGACACAGAGACGCAGAGAGACGACACGGAATGAGACAGAACGAGGATTTGGAGCAACGGGAGTTACGCTATCCATTGACTCACCCCAACTTCCGAAATCAGCATACTCCGTCACACAATAATTATCAACACAAGCAAACATAAACACAGTTCTAAATATGCGAATCAGGCTACGTCATCATCACACTCGGCTGCGTTTATTACGGCGGAGACGCCGTTTAAGTCGGAATAATCAATCGATTGCTCAATCATCTTCAGAACTGCTTTTTGCCCGTTCTTAACGTCAAACAGTCGTGATGATCGCTGCCTCTTGAGTGATGCGCGTGTCTATTCTTCACCTTGTGCAAATAGCTTGCCTGTGTCATACTGTGTCAACTCACACGGTTCGCGCCGTATTCTTGTTGTACTGGGAAAAATTGAGTTTTCAGGTCTATGCGGCGTACAGCCGTTTCAATACGGGCGAAACATTTGTTTTGGCTATTTGTGTTTCTCCCTTGTGGTGGGACTTTGTAGGGTGAACGTTGGGATTTATAAGGGGCACGGGGGGTGACCAATAAGGTCTGAATTGGTCTGTAATACGGTAGGGCACTGATAAGGGGTTGACAGGTGTGCCGTGTTGTGTAGTTTTATGCCTAGTAGGGATTTCGTGATGCCGGGCCATGATAATGTTTGAGTGTGCTCGTGTTCAATTTTTGGCTTGCTTACGTGTGTGTGTTAGTCGAACTTCTTCCGCACCGTACGTAGCCAACCTGAGCCAACCTGCGCCAATTTCCAGCTCAGCCGTTGTGGGCTTTTTAAGCTACCTGGCCGCCTTGTCTCCATAAGCGTGGTTGAACTTCTTCCGCACCGTACGTAGCCAACCCGCGCCAATCGGAGGTGCCCGGGGGGAGTAGGAAGGACAACAAACTAAATTCACAACATGAAGCAGTTTTAAATAAATGAGTTTTCGATCTAGACGATTTAAAAGTGCACAGCGGTCTGTTTAGAATGTCCCTTTGTGTTCCTCAGATGGCTTCACACCTTGAATTACCGCTCGTCAAGCAAGAGTATGAAGAACGTCCAAAACCTGGGCCGTGTTGTGACTTCACGGCGATACGTGCCGATGCCGGTGAGAGTACTTATAGAACGGATCGATTATATTCGCATTTGAATCGTCATTGCAGGACAAATTGACGTCAAAATTAATCACGAAACAGGCTTCCCACTGTATTGTATAATCTGATGAGTGGTGAGGTATTGGGTGAGTTGGACCGATGAGTGTCCGGTGAGTGGTGAATGACTGTGGACGGTTAGGTGAGTGTCATGCGATTGTCACGTTATTCCCCTGTTGATAGGACGGGCTGCCCCACTGATTGTGCTTTGGGCCTCCCAGAACATCGAATCAAATAACTTTCAGCTTTTTTTCCCATCCCCACACCTATACGATGTTACGCATCATCAACGCATTTCTACAGCAACTTTGAAAAAAAAAAAACTCCAGTAAAACCTTTGATTTCGAGCATGATTCGTTCCGGAAACGTGTTTGTAATCCAAAGCACTCGTATATCAAAGCACTTTGTATATCAGTTGTGATCACGTGACGCTCGGCAGACAAAGCGTATACGTACACTACTCGTATTGCAAGACCTTTCGCTCGTTTATCAAATTAATATTTATTAAAAAATTGCTCGTCTTGCAAAACACTGACAGACCAAGTTACTCGCAATCCAAGGTTTTACTGTAAAGTTCAAAGTAAGACGAAGGCCAAACAAACAAATAAATTACAGTAGAACGAACCGATTATATTCGCAACATGGTTGTCCAGCTCTGAACCAATTCCTCAACTGCATCAATTCCATACACCCAGCCATCAAATTCACCATGGGAGTTGAAAAGGATGACAAGCTACCATTCTTGGATGTTTTAATCGAAAAGAAACCAGATTGCTCAATGGGACACTCTTTCTACAGGAAAGCCACCCATACAGATGCCTACCTATAACTTGACTCCCACCACCATCCATCCCAGAAGAATTCCCTCATCAAAACTCTACACCATAGAGCTCGACGCATTTCCGACCATCATCACCTAGCCAGTGAACTGGAACACGTACACCAAGTTCTCAAGATAAATGGTTATTCAGACTTCACAATCCGTAAAGCTATCACCCGAACCGTTGGGAAAGAACTAGCTGAGGACCCAATCAAAATCATCACCTTGCCAAACATAGCAGGGGTCACCAAAAATATTTCCAAAATCATGAACAAACACAAGATCCAGGTTCGATTTAACACAGTACATCAATAATAAATCACGACGTTTCGATCGCAATACAATCGTCATCAAGTAGAAAGATACAGCAGTAGAACTGCTAAACATGAAAGGGCTGCTGCAACAAGATGTTATATAGAGGTTTGAGGTGGGTGTCACCCAAGGGCAAGTAGGAGGGGTCAGAGATGGAAAGGAGTCCCGTCGCCGCACGCACGCACAACAGCTGCGTTAAAGTGGGAGATTGGCATGTTAATGTAACGAGTATAATTGGAAATGAGCACCGTCGCCGCATGCACAGCAGCTGCGTTAAAGGGAGAGATTGGCATGTCAACGTAAAGGAGTTTAATGGCAACATAGCATCTCTGTCAGAGGACCAGGCATAGCGCCACCTCGTGGGCACACAAGCTGCGGCGTTGGCTGCTGCACAGTTAGAGGCCAGCGTATAAACGCAAGAGAACCACCGTAATGGTGGACGTGCCAGTGAGACATACAGCCTATTAAAGAGCGAGAGCTACTGTTACATTGAGGCAAAAGGGAGCAGTCGTGGCTATGTTAGTGAGACCTTAGTCTGTTAATTTAAAGACATTTAACAAGGTGATGTAATTCAGAGAGTAGGAAATAACTGCTAAACAACGGCAGAAGGATGGAAACATCACATCAAATTATGACTTTACCTGGTTAATAACATCCTACCAATGATTGCTCAGTTTGTACCCATCTTCTCGGTTGAAATTGTTTGTGTTTATATATCTGGATGGCTTCATGGACAAACCTTTGATGGTAGCCCGAAGGTTTGCAGAGTACCTTGTTCTCGGAAGAAAGCAATATTGTGTGAACCCACTGCATTAAAACAGTGATCAGTCATGGCAGAGGTATTAGTTCTGACGTGTTTCAAATCTGCCTTATGTTTGCGAATACAGTCCAAGACATGTCATTTCGTTTCCCGATGTAACTGCTACCGCAGACACAACTTAGTCTGTAGACACCAGAGTATTGCATGTCAGGAATCACATCCTTCACAGATGGGATCAAATCACGGATTTTGTGTACTGTGTTGAATCGAACCTGGATCTTGTGTTTGTTCGAGATTTTGGAAATCTTTTTGGTAACACCTGCTATGTATGGCGAGTAGGAATAAGAGGTTGGGTCTTCAGATGGTTCTCTCCCCATGGTTGAGGATACAGCTTTGCGGATTGTGCGGTTTGAATATCCATTCATCTTGAGGGCTTGGTGTACGTGCTCCAGTTCACTGGCTAGGTGGCGCTGGTCGGAGATGCCTTTAAAGTGCCCTATGGTGTAGGGTTTTGATGAGGGAGTTCTTCTGGGCTGGATGGTGGTGAGAATCAGGCTTTAGATAGGAATCTGTGTGAGTGGCTTTCGTAGACAGAATGTCCCACGAGCCATCAGGTCTCTTCTCGATCAAAACATCCAGGAATGGTAGCTTGCCATCATTTTCTACTTCCATGGTGAATTTGATGGATGGGTGTATGGAATTGATGTGGTTGAAAAATTGGTCCAGTGCTGTATGACCATGTGACCAGATGACGAACGTGTCATCTACTTATCTTTTCAACAAGGAAGGACGTAGGGTGGATGTCAGGATGGCATCTGTTTCAAATTTCTCCATGAAAACATTTGCTACCACTGGCGACAAGGGAGAACCCATAGGGGTACCTTCATTTTAATTGTAGAATGTACCATTCCAGGTGAAGTAAGTATTGGTAAGGCAGTGCCTTACCAAAATTGGTACATCCGGATTCAGTCCCTGTTGGACCAAGTCTTCAATGATTGCAATGGTGTCAGGCACAGGTACCTTGGTGAACAGAGAGACTATATCGACGACGGGGCTCATTTCCCATTATACTCGTTTACATTAACATGCCAATCTCTCCCTTTAACGCAGCTGTTGTGCGTGTGTAGTGGCCTTATTGACATCGGAGACTGTTTACTTGAGGCAACACGTATTTATTACAGACACTTCAATTACAGTAGCGAGTCTGATACTTGAAGAGGTAACGGCCTCTTCACCCATACTCTATAGAGGGAAGCGTTCCCCGAGCATTAGCCCACGCTAGCTCCCTAGTTTCCTCTACCCTAGTCCTCTCCTGGGAGGCTATCTGACCTGGCCCAGCTTCGGCGCAGGTCCCAATACCAGCCACACGAGTCCGGCCCTCAGAAAGACATCGGCCCTCGCGGCTCTGGTGTCGCACCCTGGCTTGCTTTACCCGGCCCTCAAAAGGGCAGCGAGTCAAAGGAGTTCCAGGGTCTGGCTAGTCGATCTTCATTCTTCACTGGCTCTTCATCTTGACTGGGTCGAACTAACCCTCAGCTCTCCGGGTCCCACCTTTTATACTGTCTCTCACTGAGGGGCGGGGCTGGGAGGGATCACATCATCCCCCACAGCCCCCCAGGGTGGTGGCCGTAGCGGACGTGTTTGTGGCCACCGTTATACAACCGCGTGTCACCCTCCTGTAACATCTCTACACGTGCGTGTGGCGACGGGACTCCTTTCCATCTCTGACCCCGCCTACTTACCCTTGGGTGACACCCACCTCAAACCTCTACATATAACCTCTTGTTGCAGCAGCCCATTCTTGTTCAGCAGTTCTACTGCTGTATCTTTCCACCTGATGACGATTGCTTGTGTTGCGATCGAAACGTCGTGATTTATTATGTATTTTTCTACCTACGTGACTTTACCGAAAGAACCAAAGAACATGGATTCCTGCAGTCACGAAAACTTAAAATCAAGACAGTACATAAAATTTGTGATCTGATCCCATCTGTGAAGGATGTGATCCCTGACATGCAATACCCCGGCGTCTACAAACTAAGCTGTGTCTGCGGCAGTAGTTACATTGGTGAAACTAAGAGACATGTCTCGGACCGTGTTCGTGAACATAAGGCAGATCTCAAACACTGTAGGACCAATACCTCGGCCGTGGTTGATCATTGTTTTAATGCGGTGGGCTCACACGAAATTGATTTCTCTAAGACGAAGGTACTTTGCAAACCTACTGGCTATCAACAAAGATTCGTTCATGAAGCCATCCATATATACCAGGGGTCGGGAACCTATGGCTCGCGAGCCAGATGTGGCTCTTTTGATGATTGCATATGGCTCGCAGATAAAACAAAATATTCTCACTTGTTTTAATCCATCCATCGATTTTTCACTGCGCATGTCCTGTTCAGGGCTGCAGGAGCAATTGTCCATTATTTTAATTGGATGATACTGGCCTACGTTTGCCGTTGCTGGGTAAAACAGGTAAACGCCCCCTTTTGAATCAGTCTGAGACTGCGTCTGCTCGGTCATTAGCTCAAAGCTAACCCTTCGACGAAGAAGATGGCGAAAAGAAAAAAAGACGACGAGTATCGTACATTTCAGGACGAATGGACCGAAGAATTCGCCTTTGTGGAGAGAGCGGGTTCTGCGGTGTGTCTAATTTGCAATGACAAAATTACATCGTTGAAACGGTCGAATGTAAAGCGGCACTTCGACACGCGCCACGCTACCTTTGCATCAAAATACCCTGCGGGAGACAGCAGAAAGAAAGCGTGCCAAGAGCTTCTGAGCAGGGTGCAAGCTAGCCAGCAGCAACTCCGCGTATGGACCCGGCAAGGTGACTATAATTCGGCTAGCTTTGCTGGTTCTTTAGCAATAGTGAGGAACGGAAAACCATTCACAGATGGCGAGTATGCTAAAACGTTCATGCTGGATGTAGCCAATGAACTTTTTGATGATCTTCCGAACAAAGACAAGATAATCAAACGGATACAAGACATGCCTCTGTCGGCAAGAACTGTTCATGATCGTACCATCGTGATGGCAAACAAAGTGGAGGAAACGCAAGTGAA